AGCAGGGAGCCCGATGTGGGACTCGATCCCGGGACTCCAGGATCATGACCTGAGCCGAAGGCAGTCGCTCAACCAACTGAGCCACCCAGGCGCCCGATATGTTTCCTCATTTCTAAGCCACAAATCAGTTGGCTTAGAACAACAAAAGTTTATTGTCTCATAGTTCCAGAGGCTAGAAATCTGAAATCTAAGTGTCAGTAGGGCCATTCTCTCTCTGAAGGCCCTACAGGGGGATTATTTCTCTCCTCTTCCTCGCTACTGATGGTTGCTGGCAATCCTTGGTGTTCCTTGACTTACAGCTGTATCACTCCAATCTGCCTCTGTGGTCATATGGCATTTTCCCTGTGTATTCATGTCCAGATTTTCCTCCAGTTACTGGGTACCAGTTCCTGGGTTAGGGCCCACCTTAGTCCATTATGACCTCATCTTAACTAGGTTATAACTGCAAAGATGCTATTTCCAAATAAGGTCACATTCACAGGTTATGGGTGAACACGTATTTGGGGGGAGGACACTATTCAATTCAGTACAGTAGACAATCCTACTGAGGGTATTTCCCTTCCCCACTGTCCATTAGGGTGATTTCTGGGTGGAGTTTTGTTTAAGCATATTGCAATAAAGTTAAAATTTAATTACAAAAGTGTACATGCAATTTCACATATTTGAAAATTAAGTTATATATTACTAAATAACCTTTATGTTTAAAAGGAAGTACAAAGTAAATTAGTACTTAGAAATAAATGACAATGAAAATGCTACATGTAAACACTTTTGGATCACAGTTAAAGCAGTTTTGAGAGAAAAAAATGATAATTTACATGTATTTATTAAGAAACAAGATAGTTTGGGGATTTTTTAAGATTTTTTAAATTCATTTGATAGAGAGAGAGAACCCGGGAGGGGCAGAGGGAGAAGGAGAGAGAATCTCAAGCAGACTCCACAATGAGTGGGGAGCCCGATGCCGGGCTCGATCTCACAACCCTGAGATCATGACCTAAGCCAAAACCAAGAGTCAGATGCTTAACTGACTGTGCCACCCAGGTGCCCCAAGAAACAAGACAGTTTTAAAACAAAGCAGCTGAGGGGCGCCTGGGTGGCTCAGTCGTTGGGTGTCTGCCTTCGGCTCAGGTCGTGATCCCAGGGTCCTGGGATCGAGCCCTGCATCGGGCTCCTTCCTCAGTGGGAAGCCTGCTTCTCCCTCTCCTACTCCCCCTGCTTATGTTCTCTCTCTCACTGTGTCTCTCTCTGTCAAATAAATAAATAAAATCTTAAAAAAAAATAAAACAAAGCAGCTGAGCATTTAATTATGTTATTTGAAAATAGTAATATCCAAAGAAATAAGAAGGAAGCAAATAATAAAAATAAATAAGAAAATAAAGGGTGGCTCAGTTGGCTGAGCGTCTGCCTTCGGCTCAGGTCATGATTCCAGG